ACCATCGATTCTAATTTTAATCCCTCTTCATTGTTAGCTTTTAAGGAAATTTGCTTCTTATTTGGCATTTTGGTCTCTCTCTGTCAATAGTGGTATTAAGGATTTGGTTTTTATCATTTAACCAAACTCTCCAGTTTCTGTTTCTCTCTTTCTTACACCCAGCGTGCATGCCGTGCTGAATGCCTTATTTCAGATTCAAAATGTATAGACAGAAGAACAGTACCAGGACGACAAAAGTGGTAATTTAACACATAATAACATTGGCATCAATTATCCTCTCCCTAAGACAACTACTTCCGTAGAAAAATTTTTATAGCAGCTGTGCGGCCTGGCTGTCTTACAGATCGGTTCACTGTATTTTGTGATTTAAAATTTAATTAGCTCGTTTATAATACTGATGCAATTTAAAGTTTTTTTTCTTAAAACAAACCATGTTACTGATCAAAAAGTAGTATCTTATGATTATTAGTCATATTATTAAAAATTTCAAAATGGCTTTTGGAAATTTACCTCCTTAAACAATGATTTTGCAGTTTGGCAAAAAATCTTTCACAAGTTGGTCTTACTATGGGCAAGTATTGAATTTTGTTTCCGAAACGATAACCAGTAATTTTGTTTAGAGTTAAAAATAATTTCATTTCTATGGTATATGTAAATCTTTTTAGTTTTTAATATACTTCAGAAGTTCCTTTTCTTATGCCATAAGGCATGTGTAAAATAAGCTTATTTCCTTGTATTATTATTAAGCCATTCCAGAAGAAGCCTTTCTGACAATTGATCACTGAAACTTATGCCGTACCTTTCTGTTAATTCCGAAAATAATCTTGGCATAATAAAATAAATGTATTAGAAAAGTATTATATTATTAAAATATTTAAAAAATATATTAAATTAATATATTAGAAATCTCTGTAATTTCAAGCAAGCTTTCGTTCTTCAACTACATGTCCATTTCCGATACCCAAAGGCTAATTCCATCATAATAACTTATCTTTTACCCAGTCATTATTCAGCGAAACCTTTCTATTTGAAATTCTGTGATCATCCTTTGTAATAAAGGCCCAAGATACACCTCCACCACCGCGAATGCATAGATCCTTTGCAGGATCTCTGTGGCTTTATTAAGGCCTAAATAGTACTGTGGGTAAAAAAAGTATTTGCACACCTACATTTTTGTTTGCAATTCATAAAAAGAAGCATTAAGAAATAAAAAAATTGGTATTTCCAAATCAGAATAAGTTTAATCATCCGAAACAAACAGAAAAATTACAATAATATAAATAACAATGCTTTTTTGTAACAAAATTAAAATATCTCATATCAAAAAATATTTGCACACCTGCATGAATACAAAAGAAATAAAATATATAAGCAAATTTCAAATAACTAATATTTAGTATGCATTCCTTTAGCATCTATTACTGCTTGTAATCTTGCTGGCATTGATTTAATTAAATTTTCTGTAACAGTAGGGTCAGTATTCGACCACTCTTCAATAAGGGCTTAAGAGCAGATTTGCTTGAAATCTTCCTTTTTCTTATTTTTAAATCCAAAGAATTCCACAAATTTTCCAAAGGATTTAAGTCTGGTGATTGTGGTGAAGTGGCAAGTTTTCTGGGTACATTATAAAGCAACCACATACGTGTTATACCGGCAGTGTTCTTGGGATCATTGTCTTGCTGAAAATAGTACGAATTACTGATACCAATTTTATTGCACTTTGTGGCAAATTATCTCGCAACACATCAATATAGGTTCGAGCTATCATATTCCCATCAAAAACACAAATTACCAACTCCTTTGCTAGCCATGCACCCCCAAATCATCAAATCATAACATAACCTCCTCCATGTTTAACTGTAGGTAACACATTTTGGGTATGAAAAGCAGTACAAGGTTTTCTCCAAATTATTTTCCTGCCATCTGATTTAAAGATATTGAACCTTACTCTCGTCGGAGAATATGACATTTTTCCAGAAATGAATTGGCTTATTGTTATATTCCTTAGCGAATTCAAGTCTCTTCAGACTATTTCGTTCAGTTATGAGAGGTTTTTTTTTCCTTGGTGATCTCCCATAAATGTGTGCTTCATGCAGGACATTTCGAACACTTTGGGCACAGGTTTGAACTCCAGATGTTGAAGCGACATCATTGGCTAAAGTAATTGCACTAACAAATGGACTTTTTGATGCTTCTCTTATGAATTTTCGCTTCATTCGCAGTGAAAGTTTCTTTGGGCGTCCAGAGCGCAAGTTATTTGATGTAGATCCTCTTTCTTTATAACGTTTTTATAATATACCGAACAGTAGAGAAGCAAACATTTACTTTTTTACCTATTTCTATTTCGATAACTTAGGCCATTTTCACGTAGAGACACAATTTTTTTTTCTCGCAACGAAATCGGCAATTCAGATTTCTTAGGTGCCATTACAATTTGAATCGACAATCAACAACTTCATAACGTTTCGACAACTAGTCGTCTTAGTTTTACGTATGTTATTTACTGCGGGATGACTGTCAAATAATAGCATAAAAATGCAAATTTGCTAAAGTTGAGTTGAGTGTGCAAATACTTTTTTTGACATAAGCTATTTTAATATTGTTGCAAAAAATGTTTTTTTTATTAATATATTGTATTTTTTTAATTAATTTAATATGAATAAGCTTATTCTATTTTTTAAATGCCAATTTTTGTATTTCTTAATGCATTTTCTTATAAATTGTGAACAAAAATGTATGGTGCAAATACTTTTTGTACCCACTGTAGTTCAAGCACTAAATAGGCTCCCTTATTCTCTGTTTGTTATTTAGTGTGTGAATATATTTTTGTGTATGTGTATTTGATAATATGTACATATATATATATATTTGTCTACCATTGGAAATAAAAATATATGCATTACAAATCTGAGTTATTAAGCACATTAAGGCTGTTTACACCTTTCGTTCCAAAACAGATATTCAAATTAAATACATTAGGCAATTTGTGTTTATCTACATTTGTTTCAATAATAATGTTTTTGTTGGCATTAATTTCTCTAAGTAATTTAAACATGAGGTTGTTTAAGGCCATTTTTTATCCATTCATTTATTGAAATATTTACATTTATTACTTTTTCCCCCATTAGATAATCCAAGAATTTTATATATGTTACAATTTATGGTATAGGCTTGTATATATGCAATATGAATATTTTTTTTTTAATTTTCCAGAAGAAAAAATTCTTATCTTCTATTTGTTGATCTTATTATCGGATTGTGTTATAAGGTATTTCTCTCTTGCCTTCGTAGCATGTCTACATGATCAGCACACTCGGCACATATTCGAGAGGTCCATGGTTCGAGTCGCGGGGAGGGCATTGCTCGTTTTTTTCACGTCTCTCAGCTTTAAAAAAAAAAAAAAATCCTAATGTCTCTACAGTGTCTTCTTCAAAATAAACAATCTGATGGAATGAAAATATTTTGGTGATTAAAACTTTTTAATCACTGCTGTTTACATCTACATTTCTTTTTTTCACATAATTTGAAGTTTGCAAGTAGTTTGAAGGTTTTCAAACTATAAGTTTCAGAGAAATTTTAGATCTCATGCAAGCTCCTCTGGGGCATCTTGCAAGTCAAAATCAAAATTTAAAACTATTTTTAATATCACTGGACATACTTAAAGAATATTTTTTATTCTATTGTTATTGTTACAAAAAATAATATTAAGCAGATCTGTTTTTATGATTAAAATTATAATGAAATAATGATTTTCTTTTCACTTTCTGCATAAAATGCACAAATTTTGTATTTCAATTCAATTCTTTTTTAAACATTTATTTTTTTGAGGATGGAAATGCTTCTCTGGAAAAAATTACAATTTTAGAGTTTTTTCTGAATTTCACAGATTTGAAGACAGTTGGATAGAAAAGCCACAATTTTTGAAATGGATGAATAAATACAGCCCTGGCTTTTGTTATGTTTTATGCATTTAATAAATTTCCGCCCGACTGTTTATATCTTTAATTCTACCTAACACAATTAATCGATACTTTGTTTCTAATATAGAATTTTAGCATCAATTCTACATAATAACATGAGTAATCTTTTTTTAATTGAATTTTATCATTATTAACAAAATACTTTGGCACTATGAACTGAGAATTTTTTCCTTGACTTTTATCTTTCAATACTTTAGGAACTGGTCATTGATTTACATCTATAATAAAAGAAATAAATGCTTGTATGAGTTTTAACATATTGTTAAAAGTGAAATAAACCTCAGCTCCTTTGTTCCATGAAATAATGTTAAACTCCCTGTTAAGTATTTTTTTAGCATCTTCTATGTAACAGTAGAGACTCCATGATTATTTCTTAAAATTGGAAGTATCAGAAATAGATGTAAATATGTATTGTCTTCTACATTAACTTACAAAAATAAACGTGTGAATATCTGAATGGAATTATATAGAAAGAGCTACAGGACGCTATTTATTTAAAACATACTATATTTAAAATGCACAATTTATTTTAGTATTTTTTAATTGTTTATTTGATAGTATTTATAGTTCTTACCTCATGAACATAGTTTACACATATATAGATAGTCAGGAAAGTATCACGCTAATTTATTGTACTCATATTCTTTCTGACAAACTGCATTGAACAAACTTAATAATTTTTAGTTATTTTTGGGGGGAAAAACAAAATCTGGATTTGAATATATGCTCTCTAGTATATTAAGTTAGAATACAAATTGCTCATTCTACTTCAGACTAAATCACTTGAAAAGCAGATTGCAATCCATTATAATTAAATCAAATAAAGAAATTACACAAATTAGAATTCATAAATCATCATTATAATATGAATTTCTGCAGTGCTTATTACTTACATAAGGATCATATTTACCAAAATTTATATATTTTAAAATTTTATTTTTTTAATGCAATTCATAATATGGTATGAATTGAAAATAAATGGAAAAAAAAAAAAAAAAGAAACAATAAATACACAAAGTATCAGCAACATTTTTAATAAATAAATATAAAAGGCAGTGAGGATATAGGAGCACATAATATGATATTTACAAATTGTTACAAACACTGGAAATCATTATGATTTATTATTAATTCTTTACTAGTTTACAAATAAAACCTTTTCAAGTAAAACTTACAATTAATTCACAAATACATTTTAAAAATAACTGATGCTTCTTAAAAAATGCTATCGATGGGGATCAATTAACGGCACCCGCTGCCAGTTTTCTTGAAAAATGCTCATGAGGTAAGTACATAAGCGAGTTCTGTTTCTAAGGGGGGAAAATACAGGATAATTAAATAAATATTGAATTACTGTTTGAAGTATGTAAATAAGAAGAGAGAAAAAAATGAATACTGAATCATAAAAAATCCAAATTATTTCAAATAAAGCGATTACGTTTATGTTCTTTTTATTTATTATTATTGACTTCATCTTTTCTATACAAATTCACTTAAAGATATTAAAAGAGCGAAGCATTATTTAACTGAGCAATTAGTGCAGTAAATATTTTGTTTTCGAAGTTTCTTCTCAAATTCACCATGAATTAAACAAATATATAAATACATTTTATATATAAATACATGAGATAAATATTAATATTATGTATTTAAATACAAGCTTACTACAGAACATACAAAGGGCTAATTAAGATTAGTTTTTATACTCCTACACTCAAGAAAGTCTTCAAAAACAATTTGCTCTTAGAATTCAAATATTAAACGTGAATGAATGAATGAATAATTAAGACACAATAACATGCCAAATAAATACTAATTCAGAAGTCAAACAACAAAAATCAGCGTTATATTTACAAAATTTTCACATTTGACTTCTGAATTAGAATGAATGAATATTAAAAAATATTTATTTCAATGATTGTTTAAGAAAGCACTGAGTTAATTACTATTTTCAAACATATAACTCTCTACATGTTTTATTATGGAGGAAAATATCAAATGCACATGTGTAAAGCATATAAAAAAAAAAAAAAAAAGGTTGTTTGTGGCTCTGAGGTCCGGATTTTAGACCATTCCAGATATTGGATGTCCGATCCCGGACTTTGTACTGTAATATGCTTTTCTTTTTAATAAAAACTATTTAGTTGGCTGGCGGCACAAGCATCTACTCTGTAAAATACCATAAATAAAAACTAAATGAGTGTAAACAGAAACTCTTAAACAACATTATTTGAAACCCTTCCAAAATTGAATGATTTAATATTGTTAATATAAACAAAATTTTAAAAACATCAAACTTTTATATCTTATTTCTCTTAGCTCTAAATTTTAATTGACGTAATAAGTACATTAATACTTTCTCTTGTCAAACTGAGAATTCTATAACCTGATACAATAATGTGAATAACAATACATTCACAAATTTAAAATTAATTACGGAGTTTCATTGCAGAAACATTCAAACAAATTCATAAAAAAAAGTTTATCAATTTCAGCAAAATATTAACTTTTAAGAAATCCATTAATACTATTTACTATTTGTTCGATTAAAAAATTCTGATAGAAAAAATTCTTTCAGATGACAGAAATGCTTTTAAATTAACAAACATTACAAGTACGGCAAAAGCTAAAAAATTGTTGTCTTTTATGCTTTTTTTTTTTTTTTTTTTAAGTAAAAGTAATACTTTTGCAAACAAGGAAAATTACATTTATTTTACCATAGATTATCAATAATACTTGCATTCTGTGAAAAGACAGCATTGCTATGCAGTTAAAAAAAAGTTACACTAGTTAGTTTTCTGTGCAGCTTAACATCTAAAACGCTGTCAGAAGTTCGTGTATATGTGAGTCTATGGTGTCTAATGTTGATTTATGACAGAAATTATATTGTGAATCATTTCCTTGGGTGGGGGGAGGAATCAAATTTACTTAAAAATTAAAAAAATTCTATTGTGAAGGGAAATTTTCTCCTACCTGTGCAGAAGACTTTTAATTTGGTTGTGGTGAATATTTTGTTTGTGTTCACTTCTTTGTATATTTTGATTACATATGACTATTATTTAATTTAATTTTCTATAAGGAAATTACCAGACTTTTTACGATTTATTACTTTTTTCCTTTCCTTTTGTTTTTAAAAACAAAATTTCATATCCATCTATACTACTGAAAAACATTTGTATCATATAACAGCTTTATCTTTGTAGGCTATACACACAGTTTTAGAAATCATTCTTGAGGTTTTATGAGCTATAAAGCAAAGCATTGCTTTTTACAGTTCAGATTTTGAATATATAACAGCAAATACAAGTTGCATAAAACCAAGGAGGGAAAATTTTATTTAAATTTCTTTCCATAAGCAGATGATTTTTTGAAATAAAGTAAGATGATATATATATTTTTAATCACAGCTGCAAGTTATCATTCCAAAGCTTTAGGATAGGATGAAAACACTTTGTTGATATATTGTGTGAGTGATAAATTTCACTATTTTGAAGTAAATTTTAAATGCACACAGTACAGTAAATTATATTGCATTAATTTTATCTTTAAGAAGAATATCTTATGGAACCAGTAAATATTAAAGAAACATTTCATACTCACTTATCATTTCTGCTTAGTAACATTAAGCAAAGAAAGGATTCTTTTCCAACAGTATTCAAAAGATCTATCCACATCAGTGCTTCTTGAATATTGTGAATTAATTCATACATATTAATAAAGGCATCTAAATTGTTGCATTTAATGGCACTAAACAGGGACAGTTCATCTGAAAATATAATTGATTTAATTTGAAATATATATATATATATATAATGAGCCTATCTTTAGAATTACCGATACACAGTTTCGTTCGCTGGAGATAAAAAGGTTTCCCCCCCCCCCATACAATGTTGCCATTGCTAGTGTTTAAATCGTTGAGTTTGTTACTCAAAAATTCGGTAAAGTTTTATAAAATATGAAATTGATAATAAAACAAATTTCAAATTTGGTCTTCCACATGCCCATATTAGTAGGAGGATTATGTCATTCAAAATCCGATGGCTCTATGTACCGTTGTTTTATCAATAATACATAAATTTATGCAGATTTTTCATTGCTTAATTTCTTCAAATGTAATGCAGGACTCTAACATTTGTTGGCAACAGTTTGAAAAGTGATTCGCCATTTATAGTGATTCAACGCAAAATCGCAATACAAAAACAATGGTCCCTCAGGGACAAAGCGCTTTTGGACTAAAAAGCAAAATTTTGTTCCCAAGTCCCAATAAAGCATTTTTACTTCCTTGTACAAAGTAAAAAGGAAGTATTGTAATCGCGAAAAGTTCCAGGCAGCATATTTCAAAGAAAATATCCCATTTTGACCTCTTTTAAATGCAATTTAACGATGTATTTCCGTGATATATGCACGTAAGGACAGAATAAAACACTCTTTTCCTCCAAAAAAATTATAAAACTGCTTTAAAATGAATTCTGAAGAGAATTTTTCGTGGCGTCTGTATGAACGTACGTACGTACGTATCTCGCATACCTCAAAAACAAGTAGCCTCAGAACGTTGAAATTTTGTATATAGGACTGCTATAACATGTAGATGTGCACCTCGTATTTTGGTTGTAATTGGTTGCACCAAACGTATATACACTCATGTCTATAAATTAAGGATGATTTGGAGTCACGCATAAATTGAACTCTAAAATAAATATATCACCTGTAAAATCACTACACACATCTTCAAGAATCATATGCAAATTTCAGGAAGTAACCAGATGATACCGATGGTACGTCACAATGACGAGAGTGTAAGAGTGCTATATAAGGAATACAGGCAAAGAAGTAAAATTGTTCGCAGGTGCTTTATAAGCATTTCAGTGCAATAACCAAATAGTTATGACACAAAGGACGCATTTGGATGATTTTTTTATGTGGTAGAATTATCGGCCATCTGGAATCTGGGCGTACCCAACTGGAAGCATCAGGAGAACTTGGAATTGCCCAGAGTGTCATATACAGGCTTTGGCAATGATTCCAAGATGATGGTAATGTGAGTAGACGTTACAGCACAGGTCGCCCCAGAGTTACAACACTGAATGAGGACCGGTATTTAGCAGTTACTGCCAAAAGAAACAGGTGGAGTAAAGCCTCAGACCAGTCTCGTCAGCTCTTTTCAGCCACTGGTACGACAATTTCAAGGCAGACCGTGTACAGACGCTTAGGGCAGATTGGTCTATATGCTCGTAGACCTGTCAGATGCATTCCACTTACTGCAACTCATTGTCTCCTGCGGTTAGCCTGGAGTAGAGAGCATGCATTGTGGACACAGCAACAGTGGGCTTGTGTGATGTTTTCCGACGTGTCCAGGTTTAGCTTGCACTCTGATTCTCACCGGACTTTCATATGGAGAGCTCCAGGTACCCGTTAGCACCAAGAAAACATCACTGAACGACACCGTTACGGTAGTGCAGGAGTGCTCGTTTAGGGTGCAATTAGTCCTCACCATGCAAACATCATAAGTGAATGTCTTCAATCGGAGGATATCACCCGTATGTACTGTCCAGCATTCTCACCGGACTTGAATCCAGTAGAGCACGTGTGGGACTTACTTGGCCGATGAGTTGCAGCCTGTCAACCTACTCCTATATGTCTACTGGAACTTCGGAGAGAATTGCTTTTTGAGTGGCATAATATCCCCCAAGATCAGATCGATAATTTGATACTCAGCATGCCTAGGTGTTGTACGGACTGTATTGCATCGTCTGGGAGACATACAATGTATTAACAATCATACAACCACGTAATATTGGTTTTTTGTAGATAGTTTTTTTTTTTTTTTGTAATTTGCTCCAGGGAGAAAAAATCGCTAATTTTTTTAATAATATCAAACATATAGCATCTTTTCTTGCTCTTCACCTTTTGTTTAATAAATAAGCTTTACAAATAAGTCAAATTTGCTTTGCTTCTAACTCTTCCTTTGCCTGATTTTGTATTAATTAATTTTCCTTAATTTATGGACATGAGTATAAATATATTTATATATATATCCACTCTGTTACCTGGCTCAGTGATCTCAGTTTCTTTACTCTTATATGTTTGTAAATTGTACATTTTTTGCTTTAAAAATGATTGAATTATGTTGTTTTTATCTTCCGGTTAAGGTTTTCTATGCCCTTAGTAAATCTGTATGCAATATTTTTAGAATTATCAACAATTTTAAAGTTGTTCAAGTGCCGCTAAGCCTTTTTTTTATAGTGGCCATTGATTGTTTACATTTGAAACAGCAGACTAGTGGATTTGTTTCCAATCTAGAGAAACTTAGCTTCGCAACAACAAAGATAACACCTTCATTTATTATTGCCAATTAAATCATGCATAATCCTTTCTGGAATTTTTTCGAGGAAATAAGTGTTTAAGATTTACTTCGTAATTTTTAGTATAGATATTTTGAGTTTTTATGCATTTTTGCCTTCTCGCGAAAATAGAACTGAATTAATTGAATGAGAAATACACAATCGTCTGTGAAAAACTGTTTCTTTTCTGTTTTGTTTGCTTAATTTCTTCTTTACATCGTTCTAGCTTTAATTATAGTATTTGAATAGAACATGTGGCAACGATTAGATAATTCTATTCTTTAAATGATATAAATTTTGTGCATTCTGAGTTATAATATGAACGAAATATAATATTGTTAAGTGAACTGAGCGCCAGAGTGTCGCTATGGTAAACAAAGTGAATTTTAAAGAATACATTTATTCTATTGTGGTTTATGCGCTGTCGGCGAAGTAGGTTTAATTCAATCTAATAAGTTTAAATGAAATGCAAGAAAAATGCATATAATTTAATATTCCATACAAGGAAGTCATGTGGTGTACACATCAGATTTTTTAATTTAAAATTACACCTCATAACTGCTTCAATTAGTACCATATAAACATATGTATGTCAACTTATAATTAGGTATTGATTTCAATCATTAATTTTAATACATACTACATTAAAAAATTACCATATTCATAATATATAAATAATGAAATATTTTTCTAAAAAACAGCAATACAAAAAAAAAAAAAAAAAAAAAAAAAAAAAAAAAACTTACTTTCAAAACTTAAAAAAGGGTACCAGATACTAGATCTGTGGAAGACGTAACTACTTCTTGAGCTCAATTTGCCTGTGGGGGGAAAAAATTATGCTACAGATCTATTTATAAATTTTCTTAGTGAAAGAACCAGAATGAAATCAATAACTTATATTTTAAGGGAGGGGATAAGTGGAAAGTTCCCTTTTTCTTAAATGATACTGTAAACCATCAAATTAAAAAAATATCCTAATATACCAAGTGTTCAAGTTACACATTACTAAAGCTACATTATTTGCATCTAAATGTCTAGAGGACATATTTTGTTAATAAATCTTGTAGAGCAAGAGGCTTTCCCATTTTTTTTTTTTTTTTTTTTTTTTTTTTTAAGCTTGACTCTATGATACTGCTATCACAACTACCTCATCCAAATTGGATTATATTTGAATCTTAATTTTGATAAAAATTTTGAATATTTCTGGGTATAAATTTGGCCCAACATGTAGACAGTCATTTAAGGATATGGAACCTGAAGCATGCAATGAAACATCAATTATCTTCTAATATGTTTTCTTATTTGAAATATAGATTAGGATTTTTTTCAAATTATTTTTTAAGTTGATTGAATCTTTGTTTTGCAGTGTCAAGTTTCCAAGGCGATGTAACTTCGTAGAAAGAATATTTTCATACGTTACATTTCATTCAAAATATTTGATGACTTCATTTTCTGTTGAATCAAAGTTTTTCTTCTAATCAACAAGTCCTGAATATTTTCATACGTTACATTTCATTCAAAATATTTGATGACTTCATTTTCTGTTGAATCAAAGTTTTTCTTCTAATCAACAAGTCCTGAATTTTCCAAGCCCTAAAGTTTTTTTGTTTGTTCCAAAATAAAATCTTCCACAAATATGTTGAAAGTTAGATATTACTATTACGTTTTCATCCTTGTATAAATTTTCAGTAGCTATCAAGTGTTTGCCTGAATGCTTAAGTTTCCCAGTCACTATATCACAATAATAATCTGTTCCTATTAGAAGAGTTATTTTCCCCTTAGCATCCCAAGAATACTTTAAATTGTTAGTGTACACTTTGTCTATTCAGATTAGGAAGTGGTAAATTACAGTTTGAAATCTATTCTGTCACAAGAGCTTCAAATTTGATTTTTGAATTTGGTGTTTTCTTGTTCTGTAATTTTATGTTAACAACATCAAACATTTTTCTAATGGTTGTCTCATTTCCAAATGTAAATACCGAAAAAGTCTCCATTTCAATAACAGAAGCTAATGAGTATCCTTACTAAATATAATCTCCATAATGAAATTAAGTTAAAATAACAAAACAATCTTTTGCAGAAAAACATATAAAGTGCTTAAGACTTTTACTTAAATTATTCCATTTTCTAACTACAAAAAAAAAAAAAAAAAAAAAAAAAAAAAAAGAAACTCAAGATTTTGCATACTGTACTTACCTTTTAGCATATTGTGAAATGCTGCTTTTGTAGGCAAATGAGGATTACTATAACCATTTTGAAGGAAATCTAATCTGGGTAAATAAAATAACTTAGAAAGAATGAGTATACACAGGGTGATTCTATATTGTTTTTACAAATTACCAGGGCTGATAGTACTCCTCCTGATGAGTAATAATTACCATAGGGTCAACATAGGGTTGCATTCTACTCTGAGAGGCAGAAAAGAGGAAAATAGAAACACATTGTGGAAGAACAAGGAATCTCTCAACAATATCAAGAATTAACTCTATGCAAATTTGCACTGAGAAGAAACAGCATTTTTCTCTTAGTTAGTACCTGAGAATGCCAATCAGAGCAAACGGTGTCCTTGAAAATGACACATCATCATCATTTCAAGTATTACCTTGATAATATCATTCAAAAGTTTTCATGAATGCTATGGTGAAATACATATACGAGGAATTGAAAGATATTCACCTCACATACGGCGAAGCAAAAGGGAATGGATGTGAAGTACAAAGAGCAGTTTCCAAGTCATCCAACCTTTTCCAGTGTCGATTGAAGACAACGAGAAAACAGTTCTTTTTTCATCTCAAAAAGCAAAGCAGGACGTTTGCGAAATGCACAAACGCCAGAAATGGAAGAGCAAGTTTTGACTAGATTTGAAGCAGCCCCTTCCACAAGTATGCGAGCAGTGGCATACGAAATAAGTATTTCCCAGCCAGTGGTGCGGCATATTTTACACGAAGAACGCATGCACCCGGACGTTTGCGAAATGCACAAACGCCAGAAATGGAAGAGCAAGTTTTGACTAAATTTGAAGCAGCCCCTTCCACAAGTATGCGAGCAGTGGCATACGAAATAAGTATTTCCCAGCCAGTGGTGCGGCATATTTTACACGAAGAACGCATGCACCCCTATCACATGCAAAAAGTGCAATCCCATATTATCCCTGCTAGGTAAACTTTGTGCAGTGGATGCTTTGAATGTGGAATAACGATCCATGATTAATATTACTTAGTGATGAGGCAACATTCAGAAGAGAAGGCATTTTCAACATGCACAATTAACATGTTTGGCCTGATGGCAATCCCCACTGCGCCACACCTCATAAACACCAGCAGAAATTTTCTGTGAATATCTGGTCAGGTATCCTACGCGATTACCTGGTATGCCCTTAGACCGCTTGACTGGCAAAACATATTGCATCGCCTTGGAACAAGTGCTTTCCAGTTTATTGCAGGCTGTTCCGCTTCACATTCAGAGAGACATGTGGTTTATGCTCAATGGAGCCCCAGCACATTTTTATGTCACGGTCCATAACTTTTTTAATGCCACATATCCTGCAGGATGGATCGGACGAGGCAGACCTTTGGCTTGGCCTCCTTGCTCACTGGACCTCAACTTACTGGATTTTTTCTTCTGACAGCACATGAAATCTTTAGTGTACCAGATGCCTGCGGACTCAATTGAAGATCTCGTGGTGAAAATCCTTATTGCCGCAGAGAAAATTAACATGATACCAGGAATCTTCAAGAGGGTGCGCCAGTTGTTTCTTCGCCGATGTCAACTGTGCAACGACACGCATGGTCAGCATTTTGAACACTTTCTGTGAGTTTTTCACTAAATACTAAATCTGATCATGCAACTTTTGGTTTTTTTCATTCACTTTCCTAACACAGTTGTACGTTCAGGTTGGAATTCTAATATTCATCTTTTCTGCCTCTCAGAGTGGAATGCGACTCTATGTTCTATGGTAATTATTGTTTGCCTGGATGGGTACTATCACCCCTTTTAATATGTAAACACAATTTAGAATCACCTTGTAAAGTAACATTAATAAACAGATATGCATTTAAGTTAAACTATAACACAAATAACTCATAAAGAAAAAAAATCATAATCTATTAACAACCTCCTTCAGCAATAATACATCTTTACAGAATATATAATTTTCAAGTAAAAGTAAAATAGGAAGACTAAAATTTGACACCAGTCTATTAAATGCAATTTCAACTTAATTAATTGATAATACAAAGCACTTTGCAATTTTTTCATTTTAGAATAATTTTCTGAAAAATCAATTCAAGAGCAAATATTAAAAAATGGAAACATTATTAAATCTTGCTATTCTACTAGCTTCGAACATACAAATTCTAACTGTTATGAATTTTGAGCTAGAGTTTGTCAAGGAATTTTTTACGAGTAGAGAAATTTTTATTATTAAACATTTCTATTATAAGTACACATAATTTAACAATGTACTAATTTAAAAACATAAATATGAAACAATATTTAGTTTCTTCTAATATTAAGCTCACACCAATATTAGTAAATTAATAAAACTGATTATTCAGCTGCATAATATCTCAAAATTCTTTTCCTTTGAAATAACTGAAATTGTGTAACATACTTTTATCATGTAATAATATGAAATAATATAAAAATAGATAACCTAGTCACTAAATTCAGTAATGTATATAATTTCTTCCTAAACTGCATTGAAAATTGATATCTAGAAATAGAGTCACAGTTTACTGATCAAAAATATTTCATGCGCATTAATTAAATGAAAAAGAGTATGAAAAGAGTTTGCTTCAAGTTAGGCAAAATGGCGACGGAGACACATGACATGTTAGTGAAAGTTTACGGTCAGGAAGCAGTGAGTAAAAAGTGTGTTTATGAGTTGTTTAAACGCTTTACAGACGGAAAGAAGGATGTCAAAGATCAGCCACGGTCGGGGCGTCCTACAACAACAACCCTACACAATGTGGATGCTTGCAACAGATGCAGCAATCGACGACTATCTTTAAGAATAGCTGGCAAATTGCAGATAAGCCTAGACAGTGGGAGCACCATTGTGCACAAACTTTTGCATTAAACATAAGATATGCACCCGGTTTATACCGCACTCGCTGTCAGACGAGCAAAAGCAATACCAGATGGAAACCTCTGGAGATTTTATTGACATGTGTGACCGGAATCCCACAATTCTTGGAAACAATAATTACAGGGGATGAGTCGTGGTGCTATTATATACGATCCGGAGACCAAGCAGCAATCACATGGCATGGTGTTCAACGTCATCACCCCCTCCCAAAAAAAGTCGTTTGATACAATCCAGGATCAAGATGTTGTTGATTGTCTTTTTCAACAGTAAGGGTTTGATCCATCATGAATTTGTACCTGCAGCTACAACCCGTCAATGTGGAATACTACGAGGGGGTTTTGAAACGGCTGCTGCTACGCATACGCCTGGATTCGGCCACAGTACCGGAATGGCACAGTGGAATCTGCTCCATGACAACAGCCCGGGCCGCACACTGCGATCCGTGTAACCCAATTCCTCGACAGGCACCGGATTCCAGTTTTGGATCACCCTCCATATTCTCCAAATCTGGCTCCCGCAAAGTTCTTCCCGTTTCCCCACCTCAAAGGAGTTCTGAAAGGCCAACACTTTTCCGACATTACTGAGATCCAACATGTGACAACGGTGCTTCGAGCCATACCCAAAGAAGCGTTTACAGACAGTTTCCAACAATTGTACACCCGATGTCAAAAGTGTATTGTTGCTAATGGTGAATACTTTGAAGGCCAGTAAAGCTATTTTGCTTGTTTCTCTTGTTTCCTTTTTTTTATGGTAAAATTCACCGACCTTTTCGAACACACCTTGTATATAGCTTTTTTCAGTTACAAAAAATGTTTTATGTGACAGAAATATTCATATTTTTGCCTTTTTGAATTAAAAATGTTAGTCATGTAAAAATTTTGAAATCCAACTTTCTACACAGTTCAGTCCTCACGTTTATATTCAGTAAAAATGTATATGGATTTGAAAAATAAAACACAAAAGTTTGACTCCTCTATGGTAAAACTGAACAAGATATTTAACTCTAAAGTTTTCATATCATGGGTTAAACACAAACTGAAGAACACAATGTTTGTAATTATACATACAATAAAAATTAAATATAAGCCTAGGAAAAAATTCTAATATTATTATATTAAGTGATGAGCACTGCTATACAGATTGTTGCAAAAAATATTGACAAATTTTTTAAAAAGGATATTTTATTTATAAAATTTTACAGATTTCATGTCGCAGAATTCAGTAGTAGGCTACTGTTTAGGTACACAGCCAACTCAGAATAACATTTACATAAATTAAAAATGAAAAAAAAATATTCCTTGTTTAATAAATTTTGTATAATTATTTTGTATTTGTACATTTTTTTAAATTAATAAAACTGCAATAAGAATATTAGTAACATATTTTTAGCATTTAAAATCTTATACATTATTGGTGAGAAAATGCTTTAAGCATTCCACATATAACAAAATCATAAATTAAAGAATGTTATACAGTAATAAATCCTCAAAACATGTCACTAAATGACAATATCTGCCTACTAGTGCCACCTGAATTCAGTTCAGGCAGCATAACTGCACAAAACTGGGACTGTCTGAATTGACACTGGGCATTTAAGCAAAAAATCCGAAACAGAAACAATAATTTTAGATAGCAAAAATGTAGGCAGGAATCCATTTACACAGCGATATGTTTTAACTTAAAAAAACATCTACGAATTGCACAATCTAGGCAGCGAAGGAATCTATGAACTATGCACATCTCGCTTTAATAAATTAACACAACAACAATAAACTTCAAAGAATACCATGTACACAGCATTCTGTTTAAACTTAAAAAAAAAAAAAAAAAAATCTATGAATCGCACAATCTATGCATTGCGCACAAATCAACAAAAAAAAAACTAAAATAAATTACAAACAATTAAACTAACAACAGAAATCCATAGTAAAAAAAGTGAACATAAAATTCTACAAAATAAAAACAATAAAATAAAATGCACTTACCATAACACATACATGAATAAAATTTTGCCATTCACATAACGTCTGTCAACAAAAGTGCCACATGCTATATCACATGTCTTTCTGTGATTCAAAATTTTGAAAGTAACAATAAAAATTCCTCCAAAGTTAACTTACTACACGAAAACCACGATCCAAATCTTAAACTCCACGAACAGCCACATACTTTACCAGCAACCATTTGACTGCAAACCCACACAAGTCTATCAGAAACACCATTCTTCATCCAAGTTCTCATATCAGCTCCGCATTTCAGACACGCCAAACTCTGTTTTAAAAGTCCTGACTCCCACAGAAATTCCAAAAATGCAATTCTATCCACATAAACACACCCGTGAACAAAAGACTCGTTAACAACTCCAACATCGTACATTTTAACACTAAATTTACTTTGCACACAATCTAAAATATGTGACTGAAATCTTGCCACCATGTCTCTCATTGCAACATTCAAAACACGCACGACACCGAACCAACGAAGAATTAAACCACTGCAGCAAAAGAGTTAAGTTTCAACGTCAAAAGAGTTGCCATACAAACAGCATCGTCCACCAAAACATCCCACAGCAAGAAATCACACCAAAAACCAGCGCAGAATACATATCACCACACTTGGTGATCTTAGGGCGCATATAAGAGTAGAGCCGAAATTAAATATCTTGGCCAATTTTTGTTATATGTGAATCAAACCCTCTATTTTTAACTCAACTTTTATGTATTTCAAGGTTGGTAGCTATGAAATAGTCAGATTTATCTCAAATTATGTTTTTATTTCATCAAAACATCATAATTGATGAATCAGAATCGCCAGGTAATAGCTATCCCATATTTTATATATTTATAAAGATGACAATATAATGCATTATCATCAAGGAAAGGAATGACATCAGTATTGTTCTTAAAAAAAAAAATGCTTTAAAATGCATTTTAGCATTTCTTTTCCATGAAGAAGAAAAAAAAAATGATTTCATTCCTTTTCTCAACCTGAGATTACTGTCTACTAGTTAATTTGATTCAAACTATGATATTTTGGCCAAACTAAATCTAAATTTTGAGACTAATCTGATTTATTAAAATCAGGAATACCAAAGTTAAAAAAAGGTAATGAAAAGTGCTGAAAAAGTATTGTACACAGCATTTTACCTTGTATTTTATTTAAAAAATTAAAGACATGTTGAAGAGAAGCTTCTGGTGTACTATAAACGGCTGGTATGATACAATATAAATGTCTTTAAAAAAAATTTCTACTGTATCATAAATTCTTTTCAAAAAATTTCTACTGTTCTATACAACATGTCTTTAATTTTAAAATAAAATACACAGTAAAATGTTGTCTACGACACTTTTTCAGAGCTTTTCATTACTTTTTTAACTTTGGTATTCCTGATTTTAATAAGATAAATCAGATTAGTTTCAAAATTTAGATTTAATTTGGCCAAAATATATCAAATTAACTAATATGAATGAATCAAATTATCAAATTAACTAATAGACAGCAATCTCAGATTGAGAAAAGGAATGAAATCAATTTTTCTTTTTTCCTTCATGGAAAAGAAATGCTAAAACTTGTTTTAAAGCATTTTTTTTAAGAACAATACTGATGTCATTCCTTTCCTCGATGATACTGCAAACTATCTTTATAAATGTATAAAATATGGGATAGCTATTTCTTGGGGATTTTGATTCATTGATTATAATGTTTTGATGAAATAAAAATATAATTCTTGAGATAAATCTGACTTTTCCACAGCTACCAACCTTGAAATACGAAAAACCAGAATTTTCTGGGAGGTTCTCATGTTATGCAGAGGCAGAAATTCAAAAGAACTTCAAACTGACTTAAATTCCTTTCATAATTCATAATTTAGATTATTGAAATTATTTATAATGTGATTCTGAAGTAAATTTTAACATTTAATTTGATGTTTTATGTTCTTTATCCGACTTATCCTTATTTTGAAATTTTCTTACACTTTTATACAGAGAAAATCCTGAGTAAGAAAGGAACACTTTTATTTATTAACATACTTTTAAATATGATGAAAATAAAATTAAATACCATATTTTACCATTTACTTGCCCCCTAAATTCTTAGCAACAGGTTCTGAAAATTTTAAAAATATCATGTAATTTTCCCCTTCTTCAATGTACTCAGACAAAAAGCTCCCCTAAGTTTTAAAATGGATTCATCCATGAAGTGACTGTTTTCATTTTACTAACAGACAAATCCTCACAAACTACTCGTGAAGGTCAACCTTTTCCTTCTAACAGCTGAACCAATCAATTATAGCAAAGGGAAAATGAACTGACATTCAGTCTATAAATTCACTGAATCATATGCACATACACCTTCTCTAATTACTTATGGATAATTTAAGGTACAAGGAATAGCAAAAACAATAAGAACAGGTAAGATTTGAGTTACAGGAAAGTGGAAATCAAGATATTTTATTAGATATTACAATGTTAATATTATTATGTATTCTTATTGGAAAGTGGGTTTCTTTTAAAGAAATAATATTGTGATGGCTACCTGTAGTTTATCCATGATTACTTTTCATTTGTTATGTTTTTACTGTAACCATACCTTTCAGATATGGAATTATTTATGTAATTTTTCCATTTTAATTCAAATTCCTATTTAGTTAAAAAAAGGGAAAAACATGTAAGGAAATATGATAATTAATGTACATACTATTGCATAATATTGTAATTGTTTATTGAAAGTCAGTGATGTATCATTTATTGATGCCCAACAAAAATGAATACAGATATTTAATGATTCAACATTGGTTGAATTTTCATACAAAGTCTACAAATGTCTACAACAGATAACTCTGATAAAATAAAATTTAACAAGAAAAAATTATGCTGAAAATTACTAGGGATGGGGGATGAAATATATATAATTTAGGCTCCCCTAATTCAATAAATTTGTCATTAATGGTGAACAAACTCCATTCTTCAGACTGGATGTTCAGGCTGCAATTAACTTTTTATCAAGAAAAAGCCGTACTTCAACCGATAGTCATTTACAATTACATGAAATAAATAATAGTAATGCAGTTTCAGAGAGACTGCAAAATTGTGTGCACTAAGAAAGGCACATGTCAAGAACACCTGAAAAAATACTGTAGGGAGATTAGGAAAAACTTTTAATCTAGATCTTGTGCTCTCCAAGTTTTAGAGTTTAAAGCTGACAAAAGAAAAACTTGTAATCAGACTATACAACTCTAGTGAGGAAGTCAAAACTGCAATGCAGAAATGGTTATTAAAAGCTTAATGGGAATTTTTGGAACAAGTTAAAAGGTCCTTTATAATTGCAATTAATGCAGACGATTGTAATTAACCTTCTTGTTATTGGAAAAAACTTCCCTCTGGTCTTACACAAGTTCCTGGTTAAGAGCTTGCAGTTCTTTAATGGTAAAATAATATTTAGAAGTATGTTTATTCACCCATTCCTCTGCTTGTTGCATTAGTTTTATGAACAGATCTTTTTTTCTCCTTTGTACTTATGCTCCATTAAGACAGAAAATAAAACAAATTTCATTTCACATTAAGTGAGTGAGAAAATTTGCATATGGTTTGCAATAAGATACTTTTCAATCAGTGCACACATCTGTTATGCAGGTTATACATTATAGTGGGTACTTGTTATGTAAGGCACTACTGTATTTTGTTGAGTGATGACGATTAGAGGGATGAAAATATCAAACTAAGTAATCACAGCAGTGACCCTGAGACTTATGTGCCAAAAATAACTCATCAGGATCTAAGAAAATGCTAGAGACACTTTTGAAATGAAGCATTTTTGATAACTAATTTGATTGTAACATGACTAATGAAATAGTAAAATGCAATAACAAGTATATAGGATGTATTTGATTTATTGTACAAGTCATCTTTTTTGCAGAAGCATTTTTTTTACTTTTCTTTTATACTTATAAAAACTATGAATTTTATATTTTATACAGAGAAAACGTTAATGAAAATAAGTCACAATGAAACTGATATTATATAAAATGAAATTAAACACCTGATTTTAAAAAGAAACAGTACTTTTTGACTATCTGCATCCTAAAGAAAAGTTGCAAAATCATTGGCAATTTTGGAAAGCATTAGTAAACTTGTAACCAACTAATCTTCTGTCAAGGTAATGTGTAAAAGGAAAGAGTCATTTTCAAAATGGCAGTACACTAAAAATTTCATACAAATACAATAATCAATTAAATTTGAAATACACATCAGTAATAAAGGTCTTCTTTTACTGAGAAATCTTTCAATTTTGTGTAATTATTCTCCTATAAGTACAGGGTGGTCTGTTTTATTTGAAATAATGCCAAAGAATTGCACAAACTTGGCACTACACATCACCCGAAACAAACAAAGGTTGCCATCTAACTATTCTGCCTAACATACTGTAAATTAATGCAGAAAGATCACCAGCACCACTCTTAACATACTGTAAATTAATGCAGAAAGATCATCAGCAAATTTATGGAAGGCTGTTATGTTTTAGAGCCTTCCATAAATTTCGTTCCATAATTTATTCCCATAAAGTATTCATATAAAACTTATATAATATCACAGAACATTAAGACAAATGATTTCCACAATATTTTTGAAAATTTGAATTTTTGGTAATTTAAACAGTGCCTAATTACTAATGTTCAAGTTAATCAAAACCTACTAAAACTATTGTTTACAAGAGCTATTATACAATTAAAATTAAAAAGAAGTTTACCTGAAGATACACTATCTACACATTCTCCTTTTTCATTTGAGCTATCATCCAAGTGATTATTTTCAACAATTTTCTTAAATTCATGAAATTGCATATTTGATAGCACAGACAAACTTGGTCCTTTTATAGTTTTTTCCTCCCTATATGTAATGATATGTGAACCTATATTCTTTTTTAGAGATATGTCACCAACTGATTGGCAACATTTTGGTATATTTTCTCGTACCTTTGGTGCATTTGTTAAATTTGCAGATTTTGATCGAGGAACACTGCTGTTTCTATGGTAGGAGGAAGAATCCACAGTGCTCTTGCTATGAGATAATGCTTTCCCATTATATCTAGGACTTTCATAGGTACTTTTCATAGCAGTTCGTTTGTTCGAAATATTAGATACAGAAAAAGGACCATTTGAATTGGATGACTCAATTTTAGCCACTGCTTTAGTAGAAGCTATGCAATCTTTAGATAAATTCTGAAAGACAAAAGTGCAAAAACGTGAGATTTAGCAATGATATTAAATGTGAACTGCTTTAAATTATCAAACAAAATTTATTTCGTTTATATTAAATATAAAGGGAAAAAAGCAGACTACAGAATAAAGCTGATAAAGATCATACTAAAAAAAATTAAATAACAGTTCACATAAACTGACTTTTCAAAGTGAAGTTTAAGCTGCAAGGTAACATAAGCAACTTTGACTCTCATGTACACTTTGAAAAAAAAGGGGGGGACAGTTCTATATCTTCTGTTCTACTGGACCGATTGACAGAACAGCATTTTTCATATCTCGAAAGCGCAAATTATGATATATAAAGTACAAAGTCCGTAATACGGATTCGTCCAGACTTTGGCGATTCCAGATTAGGGTTTTTTCCAGATTATAGATCATCAATTTAAATCTGGTAAGATGGCATGCAGAAATTATACAATTACAAATATGAAACTGTAATTTATGAAATAAAGAGCAATTATGATCTAAAGGGTATCAAATTTACAAAAAAAAAGCTTAATATTTATTTGTTTACTTTATTAAACATTTCTTTCAATGTAAGTTGTTTAAGATGCTTCCACAAAAAATTCAAAAAGTTCCTTTTTCTTGTGTCATCTAATGCCATACTCCTCGCATAATTTTGAGACGGATATGCCTTTATCCATTTTTTGCAGCAAATCCACTTTTTGTTTGATGGACATCGAAACATGGTTTCACTTTGTAGATCCTTTGGCAACTCCAGAATGGGAAACTCTTTTTGACACAATCGAAAGTTCAAGCTTAATTTTTATAAAATTGCTCTAACAGTCTGCAAAAAATAATAAGCCAGATCCAATTAGAAGATTAAGGAGCAGCACAATTTGACTGAAATAAATACCTTAGAATCAGTAAAGATAATTTTAGCCTAGCTCATACCATCCGTTATACATTAAATGTGCATGCATAAAGCATAACCCCTCCCAAAAACGTTTGTAGCTTGGGGTCCGGATTATAGATCATTCTGGATAATGGACATCCGGATTACAGACTTTGTACTGTATTAGATTTATACATAGCATTGTTCTAATATAGGTATTTTGACACAAAAATCGGACTTCTTCTGAAATGACATGCCAATATTTTCTGTATTTCAATTCTACAACTCAAATTATGCCTAATATTAAGTTTTGTAAAATTTGGTGCGAAATTTATGGAGAAATTAATTTATCTTGCCACACTTTTTTTTTTCTTTTCTTTTTTTCTTTTCTTTTTTTTTTTTTTTTCAGTTTGCACCAAGAATAAGTAACTTGGCGAACTTCTTAATGTATGGCAACCTATTTTGCTTTCCATTTTTTACATTGGGCATGAGCAGAAAAAAGTTACATTGTTCCTACTTTCAAGTAATTTTAATGAAGTGCCTAACCACATTTGATGTTATTACTGCTTTCAACAAATATGCCAAATTTCAAAATGTGCCAATATATAAATTCACATATATCTTTGGAAATTTTGAACAAAATACTCTAATTTTTTTAAGGTTGGCTTAGAAATACATCTACTTTAAGATGATGGTAAATTTTATAATTATAATTAAATTTTTTCATGAAAATTTATAAAAATTATTTAAAATAGAAATTAAAAAATAATAAAAAAAGTAGGCGAATTTTATTTGGAATGAACCTAAATTTGAAATTTGAAAAATGTGAAAGGAAGAATCAAATAAGTTATAAAAAAAGAGAGATTAAACATATATACAAAATCAATAACACTGAGAAGCTAAAATTTTGAGAGCTAATTTTTAAAAAAATTAATCGTGCAATTTTTAAAAACTTGTCAGTTTGGCATAATTTGAATTGTAGAATCAAAATATGGAAAATATCTACATTTTGCAGCAATTCCACTTTTGGCTTAATGGACATCGACGCTTTTTACATCCTGTTGCAGCTCCATAATTCGAAACTCTTTTCGACATAATCAAAAGTTCAAGCTTTAATTTTCATAAAATTGCTGTAATAATAAGAGTCTGGGAAAAAATAATATGCTGGATCAAATCAGAAGGTTAAGGAATAGTGCAGTTTGCATATTAACTAAAATTCCTTGAGATCAAAATAAAGTATAAATTTAGCCTAGCTTAATAACATCCACTATACATTACTTGCACATAATATGAGATTGGCGACAAAAGACAAGTGGTTCCGATAATTTTTGTCTTACTTTTATCGTGTACTAAGACAATTAAGACTGAAATGTAGTAGTTAAGTTATTTATGATACTTACGCCTATTTCTTGAACATGTTTAAGGCTAATCTGAGTCCTGAATAAATAAATTCTCACATATACTTAAGGCTTATCGAGGGCCGGCGCAAGATATCTTACTGCCTACTGCAGTCTCTTGCAGGTTCTAAATTCTGCTACCTATTAAATTTGCTTCCCTAGGTTCTAAATTTTTGCCGCCCCTAAATTTTGGATCCCAGTGCTTTCCCTAAATTCTAAAAATTTTGTCATCCCTTAATTTTGTTGCTAGGTGCTTCTCTAAATTCTCAAAATTTTGTCTTCCCTAAATTCTGCCACCCGTTGCAGCCATACAAGCTCTGGCGCTGGGTTTATGTGAATAACAAATCGGCTAGTTATTCTTAATTCAAATAGTACTTAATGTAATCTTTTAGCTTCTGAATATTATTAAAAAAACTATTTTTAGCATATGGAAAGAATTCTTGTTAAATTTTTCCTTGTTAGCATTTTTTAGCGCATTTAACTTAAATCTCTAATCACAGCCAAGCTTAATGTCAACAGAAAAGTTTACCATACTCTCTGTTATTCAATTACTAATATAAAAAATTGTTCAGGCATCACTGCATGAGTCATTACGTAAGACATCATGTGCTGATAAACATGCAGTGATGAAAGCCAAATACAATAAATAATGATTTGTATTTACAAGATGAAATTAATCATCATAAAAAGATATTCATTTCATTAACATTTTAAAACACTCAAAAATTCTGTTACATAAATGTTCCCTTAAAAAGTAATTTAATTATTTTTTTCAAGCAGTAGCTGTAAATTTACATTCAATTTGAGTACAAAACTAAATATGACGTACCTTTTTTTTAGATCTGAGCAACCTTGCTTTTTCAAGTAACAAATCAGCTTTAGCAAGTTCTTCCATTTCTTCTGCTGTTAAGTTTGCTTAAAAATAAAAAGTATGAAAATCAAAATCTCCTATGTATCTTTTAAAATACATTGAATTTAAAAACCATTAAATACATCATTAGTATATGAACATTATATCATACTTTTTAGAATTTCATGTAATTCTCACATTAATTACATTTTATGAAATAAAGGATGCTCATATTTAAAAATAAAATAGTAAAATTATACATTTTAACATATGTTATTTATTATGATCTGATTTACATAACTGAAAAAATACTAACTTTAAGGTGCACAATACATGCTTTTATGTAACAACAATTTCTTAAGTCATGTCGTATAAAGTGAATACTAATAGTACAAACAAACAATAAATTAGTGCTATATTGAATGGAAGGATATATAAGAAAATGGTTTGTCACCCGATAAATACTTAGAGATCAAGCTTAAGTTCTACCTTTGGAAAAACATTTTTATAATTCCATTACTTAAGACTTTTATTATTGTTGTTATTTTACTTTTTTTTTGTTATTGTTGTTAGTTTTAATAAACTACTGAAAAAGCAAATTGTCTTACATTAGAAAAACCTTTCAGATAGCTATGTGTGAAAAGAAAAACAGTTGAGGTGTATATGTTTCAAGTATTTGCTTTTATTGAATTATATTATTAAATTTTGTGTTTATTTGTATAGAAGAATAAAAACACCTTGGAGACCTACAGATGATAGATCACAGTTAATAAATAGAAATTTACCTATTTATTTTTGATATTTTAACTTAAAGAAAAAATAATTTCCCTATAAACTATTCTTATTCTCTCTTTTTTATGACATTTATAAACATAAGTCTTTAGAAATATCAGTAATTCATTAATTTAAAGTAATTTAAGCATTTGCTTGTATACTGATATAAAAACCCAATTAATGAAAAAAAAATCAATGTAACAATATAATTTGTATTCCATATGTGGAAAAATAGATAAAAAAATTTATTACATATAATTTTTAGCTAGTAAAATTTCAGCATTTTAACACTCATTTCACTTGCATTAAAAAAGACTAACTACAATGTTTCAGTACTTAAATAATTTACTTTTATATGCATTATCAGAAAAATATAGCATTTACGGCAATGAAAAGAAATTTAATTATTCTATGTTTACAATCATATGGATGCTCTTCACGAGTAAATTTGTACTAGGAAGTTCAGGTGGTAGCAAACACTTAATACAAACTGGCAAATTAAAATATGTATAAAAGAAAAGTTCCCAAGTTCAAAATCGAAAAATTCAAAAAAGCATCTGTCAATTATGAATAATCCAACATGGTTATTCAAAACACTTCACTCATATACTGCAGTCTCAAAACATTTGTTGCAATCAAACATTTCACTACTAAAAGTACTAGAAAACACAAACTACTCTTTTTAAAATAAGCACTGAAAAGAGCTTTTTTTAAGAAAGTCATACAAATAATGACAGACATCTAAACAAATAAAATCCTTTTTAAAATATATTTCATAATATGTCGACTAGATTTGGCAATAACAAAGTTAAACCATTGGGTTATTTTACAAGTGACATTTTAATAGATATGGAATTATTTAGGACTAATATTGAGGACAGTAATATAATGCGATTTGAGGCTATAATTGGCATGGGTATTCTTAAACAAGCTGAAGTTAATATAAACAAAGATGGTGTACATATTTCTAAACATGTTGTTAAACAAATTGATCCAGAAGATGTTCACATAAATAATATTTCCCTTAAATCAAAATCTGAATTAGAAATAGGTCTTACTGCTACAAAAGAAGTTATGATTATTGAAAATTTTGTCATCGATTACAAACCTCTCAAAACCAAATCTATGAACATTCAGATTATTCAAGAGAAAGATAAAACACATATTTTTCACAGACCTAGACAATTACCTTTGTCAAAAAAGTAAATAAACAAGTTCAAACTTGGTTAGCCGACGGCATAAAAAATTATTCCAAATTTTCAAGTTATACAAGGTAACTAAAAAAGTTCTTGTTGTTTCTGATATGACACTGGAAGAGTGAACCCCAACATAAAAATAGTCGCCAAACCTGGCGATGAAGTGGTTAAGATGGGAGTCTGAACATTTATCAAGAGTATAAAAGCATGTTGCATTGATACTTCAAACATAACTCACACAGCAACTGATTGAAATAGATCTGTTAAAGGTACTCGTTCAGAGTTGTTTGCTACATGATTTTAAAGTGGGCCTGTCAGCAGCAGAATCAAGTTGCCAAATTTGCCAGGCCTTTGGGGATGATGCCATTAATGAACGAACCGCTAGGCAATGGTTCCAGAAGTTCAGGTCAGGGAATATATATCTTTATGATATGCCACGTAGTGGTGGGCCACAAGTGCTGGACGATGAGGCCCTAGATCAGCCAGAGTGACAGTAGCCAAACATGTGGTGAGCTTGCTGCACACTTACAGGTATCTGATGAAATGATCAGACTCCATTTGCACCGCATAGGAAAGGTATACAAGCTGAGCAAGTGAGTATACCACTTACTGTATGATGCAAACAAGCAACAGCACGTCACTGCCTGTTTGTCATTGCTTACTCGGCACTGCAATGCGTCCATATTTGATCGAGTACTCACTAGCCATTAAAAGTGGGTCCAGTATGACACACCCAGACATTCCAAACATTGGTTGTTATCATGGGACCCACAGCCTCACACTGCAGGACTTTCTCTCCACCCACACAAGATCATGCTCTGTATCTGGTGGACTAGGCGTCAAGAGGTGCACTATAATCTCCTGTCAGCAGGCCAAACCATCACGGCCTGTACTCACAGTCAAACCATCAGGACTGTACTCATAGCAGTTGGAATGTGTGCATCAAGCACTGATGCATAAAGAGCCAGCATTGGTCAATCGTAAGGGGGTACTCCTTCCCCATGACAATATGAGGTTGCATGTGGCTCAGGAGGACAGGGACACCATCCAACAACTGGGTGGGGAGACACTACTACATCCACCATACTCCCCAGACATCGTGCCAATGGACTACCACATTTTCCATTCCCTGGACAACTATCTTCATGGGAAATCCTTCAACAACCAGCCAGACCTCGAAAAAGCCCTCACGGACTTCTTTGCGTCCAAGATTCCTGAGTTTTACCATGATGGCATCGTACAGCCAGCCACTTGTTGGCAAAAGGCAACTGGATGCTGATGGTGGTTACTCTGAAGATTAGGAATGATTATTATTTGTTTTATGACTTTTCTTTCTGACTGTCCAAAACGGCAAGAACTTTTTTGGTTACCTTGTATAGTCAAAAGTCGTTAATTCGGACACCCATAATTCGGAATGATCTATAACCCGGACATCAAAACTAAAAACTTTCTGCGCATGCGCCACGTTGACACATGCGCAGAGGCGTTCACGCGTGCGCGTAAGACCTTTTACGACTGCGCATATGAGTGTGCGCAAGTGCAGAATACGTTTTCGCGTGCGCATTTTATGTATAATGGACGTATAAGCTAAAATTATCTAATTATCTATTTCAGTTAATGTTGATGATTGCGTTGTTCCTTAATTTTCGAATTCATCCGGCTTATTATTTTTTGCACACTGTAAGAGCAATTTTATAAAAGTAAGCTTAAACTTTCGATTATATCAAATAGAATTTCCGATATATATTTGTTAATATGTAAAGGATCTAAAGCGAAAGTATGTTTTGAAATCCGAAATCTGTTTATCAATTTCAAGCTGCTCGGCGGCGGGCGCCTAATGAATTGGAAGTTGATTTGTCAGCACTATCCTTATCTTCAGCGCAGATGTTTTTATTTTATTTGGCTTATAATTCCTTACCAAATGTAGTATTTCATCTCGATATGCTCCGTCTTTGATATGATTTAAAACAAGTTCCTCGTCATTATAATTCACTTTCGATAGCGAAGAAAAGTGACAGAGGTTATTGAAAACAAAAAAATTTCGATTTACAAATTAGTCGGTGTTCTTGACACAGCAATTATAGGACTTGAACGGCGGAACTTTGTAACTGAACAAGAAATTATGTCTGTTTAATAGAATTAAAGAGAAAGTATTATCACATGAAACGAAGCAAAACTTAAACAACTTACATTGAAAGAAATGTTTAATAAAGTAAACAAATAAATATTAAGCTTTATCTTTTTGCAAATTTTGATACCCTTTAGATCATAATTGTTCTTTATTTCATAAATTATGGTTTCATATTTTTAATTTTAGAATTTCGGCGTGCCATCTTACGAGATTTAAACTGATGATCTATAATCCGGAAAAATCGATAATCCGGAATCGCCGAAGTCCCAACGAGTCCGGATTAACGACTTTTGACTGTAGTAGTAACAAAAGAAAAAAATGGTAGCCCTAGAGCATGTATAGACTATCGCAAATTAACTAAAAAGATAGTTAAAGATCGGTAGCTCTTACCATTAATAGAAGATTTACTGGATAAACTACAAAATGCTTGTATATTCATTACAATCGATTTAAAAAATTCTTCCATGTTAAAATTGACAAAAACAGCAGACTTCATTTGTAACACATAATTGAAGTATCAGTTTCTATGTGTATCTTTTGATTTCTGTACCTTGAAATGAAATCCTTGAAAACGGAATTTACATAGCTAGCTTTCTGTATTGCAAAGCTAGCTATGTAAATTCCATTTTCAAGGATTTCATTTGCAAGGTCATATTTTATTGTATTTAGATAATATCACAATTCCTCCTAAAGGTAAAGACGGACGTATTAAACACTGAAAATCCATTTTCTCAGCTGCATTTGATTAAGGACTCGAAATTAATTTTAAGAAATCTAAATTTTTTAATCATAGAATTAAATTCCTTAGTCACATGATCGAAAATGGTAAACTGTTCCCATCTCCTTTCAAAACAGCTGCTGTTATCAATTATCCTGAGTCCAAAAGTCACATAGACTTACAAAGTTTCCTTCATCTTGCCAGATATTTGTTTTAATTTATTTTAAATTTTTTCTAATAGTTCAA